TTCCACTTTGATCCTTCGTAATATTTCCAGCCACCAGTGTAAGTTGATTATGCGAACTTACTAGGAATTCGCCTGACTTAACACATGATTGGGCTGTACATGAAATAAAAATAGGGTTCACCGAACTTCGTCATAGTTCGATTATGGAATGGCCCCAACCGACTTATATCTTTTGCATTCGGTAGTTTTCGGGACTCGCCAAATCATGTTCGTTGAAGTGGCGTTTGACGAGCATCACCCCCATCCGTCATATGTGTAGGATTCGGATATATTATGGGGTATCAGCAAGACCGAGTGTCGCAATGCTTACATCGGTACAAAATAGTCATAGAACCGAGTTTCAAGGTATTTTACATCGGTATTGAGATGCTGCTCGAATTTTCAAAACGAAAGCCGATAGGCCTTCAGTACATCAAAAGGGTTACTTCGTACATTCAACGAAGCAAAAAGGAAGGTCCGTGCAAAGGAAGAGTTGGCTATCCGACCTCGGACCGTTCATTGATAGAATTTTTTTAGGAAAACAGCATTCCATGGATATTGATGCGGAGTTCCATCAGGGTGATCGATTCGGTAGGCTCCATGAGGTAGGACTTCAATGACTTGAAATGGTCCTTCCCACCTCGGTTTGAGTGGGCCGGGATCAGGCCGCATTATGCATTTAAGGACTAAGTCTCCAACTCGGAATGAACGAGGCTTAAGTTTGGAATTGATATATCTCTCGCTTCTATGTTTGTAAGCGGCATTCTTGAGTTCGGCCCGGGTGCGATGTTCCTCGAGCAGGTCCAGATTTGATTTTAAGTTTTCCGAGTTGGACTCTTCGGTAAAACTTTGAATTCGGTGTGTGGGTTCACCGAGCTCAACTGGGACGACAGCTTCCGACCCATAAGTGAGGGAAAATGGGGTCTCACCTGTGGAAGTTCGGGCAGTGGTCCGGTAGGCCCATAGAACATGTGGCAACTCTTCAGGCCAAGCTCCTTTGGCAGCGTCAAGTTGGACTTTGAGGCCGTTTTTGATGGGCTTGTTCACAGCTTCGACTTGCCCATTGGATTGCGGGTGATAAGGTGAAGAGAAAAAGTGTTTGATATTATATTCTTCGCACAGGGATTCGAATCGCTTGCCTTCGAATTGTCTCTCGTTATCGGTAATGATGGAGTTCGGTACTTCGAAGCGGCAGATGATTGATTTCCATACGAAGTCAACGACTTTTTGCTCGGTTATCGTGACTAACGGTTCGGCTTCGGCCCACTTAGTGAAATAATCAACGGCTACAATGGCAAATCGGACGCCTCCTTTCCCGGTCGGCAGGGGGCCTATGAGATCGATTCCCCATTTAGCAAAAGGCCATGGACTGTAGATTGATTTGAGCTCCTCGGGAGACTAGTGGATGTTGGGAGCGAACACTTGGCATTTCGGGCACTTGCGAACCCATGCAGCGGCGTCGGTTTTTAAGGTTGGCCAATAATAACCTTGTCGTAAGACTTTGTATGATAAGGCCTGTGAACCGGGGTGACTTCCGCAAATTCCTTCATGGACTTCTTCAAGAATATATCGTGAATCAGATTCATTCACGCATTTTAAAAGTGGGACGGAATATCCTCTCTTAAACAAAGTCCCATTGTCCAGTGTATACCGAGCTGCTCGAGTCTGAAGTGTCCGAGCTTCTTTTGGATCCAGGGGCAAGGCCCCAGTTTCTAAATAGTGGATAATAGGATCCATCCAAGTTGGCGGTTTTTGCGGGGTTACCGGATCGATAGCCGCGACTTCGGTAAATGCGGTCGACGGTCGTTCTTGTTGTCCGACTTGGACATACTCCATGTTCTCCATTCCGGTACTCGAGGCCAGCCGGGACAAAGCGTCTGCTTGAACATTAAGAGTTCGGGGAATGTGCTCAACGTCAACGGAGAACTTTGATAATTTTCGCTTTGCCAAAGAGAGATACGGTGTCAACTGAGGTTCTTTGACTTCATACGAACCGTTAATTTGGTTGACAAGGAGCTGGGAGTCTGAGAAGACTTCGAGGTGCTTTACGTTCATGGATTCAGCCAAATTTAGTCCGGATAGCAAGGCTTCGTATTCGGCTTCATTGTTTGTTGCCGGAAAAAGAAATTTCACTGAGTGACAGAATAATCGGTTTTCCGGGTCCGCCAGGACTATTCTTGCACCTGCTCGGTTGACTGTCGAGGAGCCGTCGATATAAAGAACCCACGGTTGATCGTCGTGATGAATTGTTATAGCCGGGGTGAATTCGTCAATGAAGTCGGATAAGGCTTGTGCCTTGATCGCGGTCCTCGGTTGGTAGTGGATGTCAAATTGTCCAAGTTCAATCGCCCATTTGATCATGCGTCCCGAGGTGTCAGGTCGGTGCAGGACTTGGCGTAACGGATATGAAGTGCGGACAGTTACAGAATGTTCTTGGAAGTAGGGTCGCAATTTCCGAGCAGCGATGACAAGCGCAAACGCCAATTTTTCCATAGGAGGGTAGCGCAGTTCGGCGTCATGTAGGGATTTGCTAATGTAATAAACAGGCGATTGTAGCGTTCCTTCTTCACGTACCAAAACAGCGCTGATTGCAGAATCGCTGACTCCGAGGTATAAAAACAGCATTTCCTCGGGTCTTGGTTTTTGCAACGTTGGTGGAGAGGCAAGTGTCTCCTTGATGCTGATGAGAGCTTTTTGACATTCTTCGGTCCATTCAAAGCCCCTTCCTTTTTTGATTGCTTCGAAGAAAGGTTTGCAACGGTCTGTGGATTTGGAGATGAACCGGTTGAGAGCAGCAAGTCGGCCAGTTAGGGCCTGAACACCCTTAACCGAAGTCGGGGGAGTTAGGTCTTGAATGGCTTTTATCTTGGCCGGGTTGGCTTCAACTCCGCGCTGGCTGACCATATAGCCCAGAAACTTTCCTGATTTAACTCCGAAGGTGCATTTCTTGGGATTTAAGACCATGGAGTACGATCGGAGAACATCAAACATATCTTGGAGGTATGTTATATGGTCAGAAGCGTGCACCGACTTGACGAGCATGTCGTCGACGTAAACTTCCATAGTATGACCAATCATCGTGGCAAACATTTTGTTGACAAGGCGTTGATAAGTGGCTCCGGCGTTTTTCAACCCAAACGGCATCATGGTATAGCAGTACAAGCCTCGTGCTGAATAAAACGAGGTGTGTTCGGAGTCCTCGGGATCCATAGGAATTTGATTATAACCGGAGTAAGCATCCATAAAACTCATTAATTCGTGTCCCGACGTGCCGTCAACCATGTAATCTATGTGTGGGAGTGGGTAACTGTCCTTGGGACGCGCCTTGTTCAAGTCGGAAAAATCAATACACAGTTTCCACAGACCATTGCTCTTTTTGACAAGAACGGGGTTTGAGACCCATGTCGGATATTTGGCCTCTTTGATGAATCTGTTATCGATGAGTTTCTTAACTTCCTCTTCCAATGCTTTCTGGCGATCCGGCCCCAGCTTTCTTCGTTTCTGAACAACAGGCCGGACGGTTTGATCGAGGTTTAACTTATGACTAGCGACACCGGGGTCGATGCCCTTCATATCTTCGTGTTTCCATGCAAAAACATCAGAATTGCGTTTAAGGAATGAAATAAGTTCTGACCGAAGAGGCTCTTGGAGATGACTCCCGATGCGTAACGATTTGTGGAAGATTGGTTCATCGATGTATATTAATTCTACTTCTTCTCCAGGTTCGGCTCGATCACTTCGGCTTTTTTCTTTAAATTGGGCTCTTGGGTCCAACTCATCTTCTTCAAGGATAGGTTCCTTTCCAGGCCGGCGACCTCGATCCTCGGTCAAAGGATCCGAGGTGGGAAAAGCACCGACGTTGTGGTTTGGTTCTTCGGACACCGTGTTGTCCGAAACATTTGGTAGTGGAAACTTTTCGTTATTACCCGTCGAGGTGGAATGGATTCCACTGGGTGGTATGAATGTGATAAGTTCTCGAGCTTCTCTCTGGTCTCCGGAGTGCGTCCCTTCTCCTTGTGTAGTCGGGAATTTTAGTGCGTAGTGAAAGATCGAAACCGCAGCCCGAAGTTTGTACAACGCTGTTCTGCCAATGATGGCGTTGTACTCGTTGTTGATATCAAGAATTTTGAAAGTCTCCATGACGAGCTTGGTGACGTTCTCCGAAGTTCCAAATCTGACTGGTAAAGTGATCTCGCCGATAGGCTTTGAAATACTTTCGTTGAATCCTTGTATCTGGTCGTTACAGGGTCGGATGTCGGCAGGATCGAGACCCATTTTGTCGAAAGCCTTTAACATCAAAATGCTCGAATAGGCCCCAGTATCTACCATAACGCGATGAACGGGAATTCCGCATATAGGGTCAGTGATAACAAGTGCATCAGAATGAGGGTGTGCGAAGTGATTAGCATCCTCCATATTAAAGGTTATGGGACAGTTCCGATTGTTGAGGATATCTCTCAAATCGGTAGTGTACACTTGTTTGCCGGAGTTGTATGCTTGTCGGGCATATGCTTTGATTTGTCGACGGGACAATATACTTCGGGAGTTATTGGTGTTGACACGGGGGACGGTGATTTGCATCGGTCCGGGAGATCGATCTCGTTTACGTCCTCGGACAATTCCAGCAAAGTCTGAGTTGGGGGTTTCTGAGGTGAACATAAATACTTCCTTGTCTCCTTGTCGGATGCGTTTTGGCATGGCGTCTTGGTCCTCCTCGTCGTCTTCATCATATGATTCAATCTGATGCCCTGGTCCTCGTCTTTGGGGGTCGGTATTGCGATAGAAATTTTTAAGTTGTGGGTGACCAATTAAGCGTAACAGGGCTGCTAACAAACTTAAACACTCGTCTGTGTTGTGCCCTGGCAATTTATGATAATCGCAATACCGGGACTTGTCCAATTTCTCCTCGGGCATCCAAAGTGGTTTGGGGTCTGGTAAAATGCCCTTCCCTTTGATTTCTTCATATATGGTAGCTGCCCCTGCGGAATATACGGTTTGATAACCGGACTTCACATCGGTAGCATACTGTTTTCGGGCTGCTCGAACTTCAGGATCGTTGGGGTCTCCTCGGGGAGGTCCCCTGAACTGAGTCTTGCTTTGCTTTTCGAAAAATTTATTCTTCTTTTTCTCGTCGGTCCCCGCCTTAGAAGACTTCGGGTTAAAGTTAAAATCGGGGACCGACATGGCTTCTTCAGCTATAATGTGTTGCTGAGCTCGGGCAAGAAATTCTTGAAAAGTGTTTGGCTTATTTTGACACAGTGTCCAGCGGAAAATCGAATTCGGTTTCAATCCGGCAATAGCCATGACAAGCAGGGTTTCAGGATGACAAGGTTCCATGTTTTGGACTCGGTCGTTAAATCGAGCAATATAGTCCTTGACACTTTCATCATCTTTTTGAGTTACGTTTGCAAGAGATTCTTTTGGAATTAAACAGACTTGAGCCCCGATGAAATGAGATCGGAATGCCGACCTCAATTGTTGCCACTTCCAAATTGAATGGGGAGGAAGAGAATGGTACCATTTTTGGGCCCGAGGCCCCAGCGTGAGAGAGAACATACGACACTGAAGTGCGTCTGAGGCCCCATGCAGATCCATCCACGAAGTTTAATGACCGAGGTGCGAGTCAGGGTCTTAAGTTCCATCGTATAGCCCGATCTGGGGGACTTTGACTTTCCCAGGCACAGGTTCCGAAGTGAGCTCTGGCGTGAGAGGGGAGTCGGCTTCCATATATACTTGCGTCGATGTTGAAGCCCGCCGAGGTGGGTCTTCGGGTGCCCGTTGCCGACTTTCCAATTCGGCAACTCTCCGTCGCAATGTTTTAAGTTCGGATGACTCTTGACGAGCCCGATTTCGTTCTATGTGCTGCCGAAGGTCGGTCTGCGCCGGATTGGAGGGGTTTCGGTGCTGTGCATGAGGCGGTGACCGTCGTGAATGACCAGTGTAACACCCCTCCATATCGTTAAATCAGAGTGCGAAAAATTCGCAAAGTTATTTAAAAATAAAGCCTTTTTACTTTGCGAAAACTGATTCGGGGTGCTACCTTAAAATCGTGACTTAATTTTGAAAACCGTTATATAATTTGAATAAAATCATTCGGTTACTGAAAGCATAAGTTTCCCAAAAGTTCGTCAAAAGATAAGTTCGTCAAAATATGAGTACGTCAAAAGTCATCAAAACATCATTAGCGGAAGCGTAAGTTATCATCATAAATATACAGTCAAAAACATAAATGTCCTGAAGCCAACGTCAGCTCATGCTCCCGGCCCGACGTCCTGACCTGAAAAACATGATAAAAGTGGG